TCTCACCTATCTCAAAGTATGGCTGGCTGGGGAATTCTGGGAGTTGGAGTCCACCCATCTTAAAGTTGCTAAGGTGGAGAAACACTGATCTAGATGAACTTTAGGGGCAACTTCCCATTCTATGATTACTTACACACACACACGTCCACTTCAAACATTTCTGGAGGAGAAAACTGAAACATTTTTTTTTGGAATGAAGCGTCGTCCAGACCTTCTTCTGCCAAGACAGTCTGCTATTTATCCTGGCATGATTTGGAAGAAGCCCAGCTCGGCAGTGAGAAACGGATGCCAAAGGTAGGAAGGCTGGCCACAGCTGGCTTGGGGGGGAAGGTTTACGGGAGCTGGGTCCACCACAAGCGGCACCAGATTTGGGAAAGTAGAGCTTCGATGTATGAAGGATGTTGGTGGAGGGGATCTTCCGGAAGGAAACACAACTGCCCTTGGCTCTGTACCCTTGCTTGGATTTTGTTAAACTGTTCTCAGCTGAGGAAGCGTATGAAAAAGTGACCTTAAAAATAAAATAAATCTAAAAATAAGCATCTTTGGAAGGCTTTCCAATGCCCATTTTTGGTGTTAAAAATAATTTAAAAAGTGGCAGAAACAGGGCATGTCAATTTATGAACTAACATGGTCAAAAGATCTAGGTACAGGTAGTCCTTGACTTACGACCACAATTGGAACTTCCATCGCTAAGCAATGCATCGTTAAGTGAGTTGCGTCCAATTTTACGACCTTTTTTGCCATGGTTGTTAAGCAAATCCAGCTTCCCCCATTGATTTTGCTTGTCAGAAGCACCCTGGGAAGGTCGCAAAGGGTGATCATGTGACCCCAGGATGCTGTGACCATCGTAAATGGATGCCTGTTGCCAAGTGCCCGAATTTGGATCATGTGACCGAGGGGATGCTGCAAGTCATAAGTGCGAGGACCAGTCGTAAATCACTTTTTTCAGCACTGTCGTAACTTCAAACAGTTGCTAAATGAATGGTCATAAGTGAAGGACTACCTGTATGTTCAGTCTACAGATAAGGCAGACAAGGGGAAAGAGGAGAGCAGTCTCCAAATATCCAAAGGGTTGTCAAAGAGAAGAGGAGGGAACTTCTCTGTTGCTCCTGTGGGCAGGATCAGGACCACTGGACTAAAATTCCTGCATGAGGAAATCCAGACTAGATATCAGAAGGAATTTCCTAACTGTATATGCCACAGCCTGTGGAACAGGCTGCCACATGAAGTGGCAAGTTCTCCTTTGCTCAAGGTCTTCAAACAGAGGCTGGAGGGCCATCTGTCAGAGATGCTCACGTGGATCCTGCCCTAAGCACCGAGTTGGGCTAGATGACCTCTGAGCTCCCTTCCAACCCAATGAGCCTGTGCTTTAAAGGACAGGGACTGGCCCTTCTTACACGCACTTACAGAGCGTTGGTTCCCACAGCACCGAAAGATTTACCTCCCAAGGATTTCTAACAATTCGGCCACTCCGTTGAAATGTTCTGTCTCGTAGATAAACCTGCCAGGTGGGAAGGAAATAAATAAATAACGACGAAGAAAGGAAGAAGCAGAGAGGGTTTTGTTCCTAACATTGTATTCCCCGCAGAGGGAGGGTGCAGGCAGTTCTGACCCCCCTCGCCCCTTTGCCACCTTTCCCCACCATCTGCCCCTCCTTGAAAGACTACCACGATGCCAAACTAGCCAAGAATGCAAGAAGATCAACAGGACCCCAGACCAGAAGAGTCTTTCCTACTAAACAGAGTCCCCACCACCGAAGGGGATCAGGAAAGGACCAAGATGGGATCTTGAACTCACACAAAATGAGTTCACACTACAAAGACCCAGACCCATGTACCACATCTAAGCACCTTCTGGGTGGGCTTAGCATGCCACTGGTCTGCAGCCCACCGGGTCAATTGTTCAGGATATTGGTGCAAAGCTAGCCATTCAAGGTTTCTTCTAAACAGAGGAAATGGTAGGCAAATATTTTAAATCAATGTTTTTCAAACTTGGCCACTTTAAGATGCATGGACTTCAACTCCCAGCATGCTGGCTGGGGAATTCTGGGAGTTGAAGTCCACACCTCTTAAAGTGGCCGTGTTTTGAAAAACAGTTTTAAATCCGCCCTTCTATGCCACAACGAGCCACTTTTCTGGGCAAATATTAATGAAGTAAAAAGGAAGCAGAAGTCCCCTGGTTGGGAACCTCACAGAGTTGTTGTTGTGGGGAAAATAGGAGGAGGAAGGAGTATTAGGTATATTTGCCACCTTGAGTTACTTATAAAAATAATAAAGGTGGGATAAAAAAATATCTCAAAAAAGAGGGGGGACAGCACAAAATTAACTCCTTGTGCATGCTGGTGTACACTCCCCCAACATCTTGCCATTCAAATAATTTCAGCTGGGGACGATAAGCTTTGACCTCCAACATGCGTAGATGGCATTAGGTTGGGGAAAGGTTGCATGAGCCAGCCTCTAGCGCAGGGTT